TCCTGGGTCCATGGGTGAGAGCGGAGGCCCCAGCTGAGGCTGGTCAGGGCCATTAACATTTATGAATGCCCTCAGAGTCCTGACACTGCTGTTTATCTGCACTTGCCCAGTCACTTATTTTCTGTAGGTGTATTGTTCATGTAAACCCCAAAAAATCTGGAGATTCTAGGCTTAGAAATCATAACTACATTATAGAAGTGAAACATGTTCTTTCCAGGTGTAATCTGGACATGGAATAAAATGTGGAGAAAATTCTCATTGTCTTCTGAGGAAGCAATAGCAATGAGCTATGTGGAATGGGACTTTGGCCAAATTTTGTCAACAGGAAAACACTGTGATATATTTGAATCCTTGCACTACCTCCTTGTGCTGTGTAATTTTTCTGGGGTGTTTATTTTGTTAACTTGCAAAAAGCTCATTGGGAGCACACAGGAATGTGTCCGTGTTAGCTCTAGGTTAAGAAAATTCTTGCATCTTTGTGCTGAGACTGGTAAAAAGCAGTTTATTCGATTCTGCTTTTTAGCACTTCTATAAATCAAGATGCAAACATGTCAGAGGAAAAGGCTTTTTAAGCAATGCAAATGGAGATTAGAAACAAACAAATCCTTGAGTTAATGTAAATGTCACATTAAGAGTATTTAAGAGGAGTTTTGCCCTGAGGGCCTGTTCTCCTGAGCTGTTCTGAAGGAGTGCTCGTCTCTAGTCAAGAGACAGCTTTGAGGTGGAGCCACCTGGTTGAGCCCTCGACCCCCACCCAGGGCTGACTTTCTGGCTGGACCTTGGCTGTTGCCTGTCAGTGTGGGCTTGCCTGGTGGTTGATCTGAGGAGCCAACTTCCACCTTGCTGTGATACTGTCTTATGAGCTGGATGCTTCTTGGATTATCCATGTGTCTGTGCAGTTTACCTTGCTCAAATACTGTGGTATGGGATGTGGGATCCTCTTGCTTCCGGCTCACCTACTCTGAGGAAGCAGCCCTCTTTTTGCTGGGGATTCAAGCAGAGTCCTTTCCAGCTCGCTGTTGAGATTTGTCTCATTTGTAATGGCTTTCTTTCCTCCTCAAGGCATGGAGCAGAGAAGTGAAGAAAAGCATAGTGGCAAGTAAGTGAGAAGGCGTGTGCCAAGGAGAGGCAGAGAGCAAGTATTAAACCTCCTTAAACAATAACCTGTAGGCTGAGGCACAGTGATACCCTGGTTATACCAGCATGGCCCTTCTTCTTGCCAAGTCCAATTCTGTGTGGGAGGCCAGGCAGAAATAGAAATGACCACGAGCATGCTGTCTGAAGGAACAGCCCAAGGGAAGTATGGCATCCTTTTTCCTTCATCTAGCTAATCTCAGCTCTGCAGGAAGAACCCTTTGGGAGATGTCAAACATTATTCTATGAACTTCTTGTAATGTGAAAGTCATTCGTGACCATGCACAGTTCGTCTAAGTTATTCATCAATAGCTCTGAATCATGTTTTCTTTGATATAATAGGAATCCATTAACAAACAACTCCAGAAAGGTCAAAAAGCATAAAAGATGTTATTTTCAAAGCAAGACATGATAGTTGAATGATTGCACTGCCTTGCCAAGTATTCTAGTATCCTCAGGTAACGAGTGCTGCCAGTCATTAATTGCTATTACTCTTAATTGCTATTACTCTTAGTCCCTCTGAAGTCAGACATTGTCTTTCTCTTTTATAAGAGTAGGAAAAAAATCTGATATTAGTAATATATAATTATATGAATATAACATATATTATATTCATATAATGTATTCACCTCCTTAGGCAATACAATACCTACTAGGTATGGCGTGTCAGGAGTGTTTATTTGGTGAAGCCTATTTTTCATACTTAGTCACGGTAACATTTGTGTGTCTGAAAGCTTGTGATTGTGTCGTAGGGTGTTATGAACAAACCAAGCAGTAACTTATACCAAGAGCACATTCCTTCTGTTCTTTCGAGCAGGTGTTGTGCATAGTTAAATAGCTGAAACATAGTTCAACAGTCACGTTTTATCTAATTCTTATGTTTGAGATGGGCAGGGAATGCAAACTGTATGGTTATGGATTGAATCACTTGGCAGCTAGCATTCTTTGTCTATGCCAGAAATGGTTATTCTTACACAGCAGATGTAAAATTTGAGATGTTTGATGCTCTGTTTTATTCAGGAGCAATGCTTTAAAGGGAGACAGAATTCTGGGAAAGAAATTAGGAGTATTATATAGCATTTAGGGCCACCAAATTATGAGCAACTAGTCTTATTGACAACTTCTTTGATGATACAGAATACTTTTTGCTAAAGAGTGGGTTTTTTGCTAAATAGGTATAGATTAAGATAAAATAAAATCATATGCACTTAGTTTTGAAGGGAAGCAACATTTTTTCTAGGACAAGCTGGAGAACATTATCTCTCTGTGATCTTCTGTGGGGGTTAATTTTGATTTCTTGACATATATCCTTTATAACAAGGGTATGTCCTGTCCCCGAAATGTTTTCACTAGTTAGGAAAGGGCTACTCCTGCACATTTTTACAGATTGTATTAATCCTTTTGAGACCTGCAGTGTTGTCTTGGTTTCAGCTGGGATAAAGTTAATTTTCTTCCTAGTAGGTGGTGCAGAGCTGTGTTTTGGATTGAGTATGAGGATAACATTATTAACATACTGAAGTTTTAGTTGTTGCTAAGCAGTGTTTGCCCTAAGCCGAGGACTTCAGTTTTCCATGCTCTCTCACTGAGCAGGTCCACAAGAAACTGGGAAGGAGCAGGGCCAGGGCAGCTGACCTGAATGGGACAAAAGGATATTCCATACCATAGGGTGTCATGCCCAGTATATAAGGTGGGGACAGTTGGCCAGGAGAGGCTGATTCAGCTCTATGGGTCCTGCTGGGAACAGTGGAGGAGCACAATGTGCTGTGAATGGGACACCTTCCAGCAGGCTTAGCCTTGAAAGACATGCAATAAGCCACTGGTTTAGCTAGTGCCAGTAGATAGGACTCATATTCACCACTTACTTGCTACCCCTGGGCAGCCTTGCAGAGACCTTTCATGTTGGGTTTGGAGTTTTCTTGTCGTATTTCCTCTGAACGTGCATAGTATACTAGTCTGCTGCAAGGAGCTCAAACTTTAAACATAACTCCTTGAAAACTGTATGTTTTAATGTTTAGCATTATGCACGAAAGTAAGAACAGATGAATGTGGCTTATGAAGGAATTACACTATCAGACAGAAAAAGTTGTGTGCTTTTTTACTGTGGGGTGTTGGAATAGTGGGACAGGTTGCCCCGAGAGGTTGTGAAGTCTCCATCTTCAGAGGTCTCCAAACCTGAGGAACAAGAAGCAGGACCAAACAATACGCAGAGGCCCCTGCCAGTCTCAACCATTCTGTGAAACAAAGAGCTCTTCAAAGAGTCTTTCTTTTTAAACTGTTCTGTAATTAATGACATAATAATATTTTTAATTCATAAAAAAATTTGGTTTGCATCCAGAAAATAGCTGGCTGTATTCCTCAGCATTGTCTATGAGCCAATAATAGCGTGTAGACAGCAATCAGAGGGCATTCTTTTGTAAAAGTTGTCAAAATAATAATGAACTACACATTAATGGGTGGATTACTTGCATATTAATGGTGTGCAAATTTTCTAGTCCTCAGAGATAATTTGTACTAATTTGCAATCATGTGGTTTTCCAATTTAGTGATTTACATATTTTACTATTGAAATAGTCCTAAAGCTTCCTTTTCAGGTGTGTACCTTTGAAATGGAAAAAATGCAGATTCCTGGGCTGATTAGGATGTTACTGTCAGAAAGAATTTAATGAATATGAAAATCAAAAGGCAAACTGTTTCTATACTAGTTCTGGAAACTTTTCAGCAAAACAATCCTATACTGACCTGAATTATAGAGATTGTTTTTAATAATATACAATGACCTTCTTTAAGTGGAACAAAATGTCATACTGGTTGATATGTAACCTACTCAGACTAAGTCTAAATTAACTCATTTGAGATATTCAAATTTACAAATATATTAATTTAGGATACCGTTTCAGCAGCAAGAATTTACAGTTAAGATTAAAGGACACTAGGGAAAAGCAACATTTCTCTGGAAGACCATGGAAACCTTCTTAGAAAGGCATCTAGTTTTGATGTCTGGGCATCAGAAGGAATTTACCTTTATTCCATTATATGTTTCTCACATGCAGAATGATGAAAGTAAATGATTTCCACTAAAATACTGTGATGGTTTGGACTTGGCTCCCTGCCAAATGCCCGAAAGTCACGACAGCAGCCCCCTTCCTCCCTCCCTTCTCCTCTTAGAGCAAAGAAAAAAAACTATAAAAAATTAAAGAACCCAAAGTCAAGCTGTTTATATAAAATATATATATATATATTTACGTAAATTAAAGTTATATACAGTTAAGATGCTATATACACAGGAAAAGGGGATCCACTCCCCGAAGGGATAGGGAAAGGGGAAAAAAAGGAACACCGAACAGGTATACTTGATCAAATTCAAGAACTATACCAGTAATTAACAAAACAGATCTCACCACTTCCCTTAGAAAAAGCAGGATTGGCAGACACAGCCAGCACTCTCCAAACCCCCCACGTGGCAGGCCAGCGGTCGCTGCAGGCCTCAGCTTTAGATAAGCAAGACAAACGCAAGGACCTACAGTTCCCGACCCTCGTTGGAAGAGAAGAGAGAGAGGTCTCTAATCTCCAACTTATTTATACTCTGGTTTACGTAAAAATCGTATGGAATACTGGGTACTTGGCCACTTCCTTGGTTACAAACTGGTTACCAGGAAGGCCTAGATCAAAACCATCACATTCTCCACCCCTTATTCCATACTTTTTTTACGTAACACTTATATTCTGTCTTCACTTATATCCTTCGTATATATACACATATGGATAAATGTATATAGTCCTTGTTCATTCTTTAGAGCATCCATTTTGTTGTAGAAGAATCAGCATCAGGATTAGCTTGGTTCAGATTCTTGGCTCTTTGGTGACAATTACAGTTGTGGTTTTAGAGCTGGTTCTCTGGTCTGGGCTGGTTTATCACTGGATACCGGCATTAGTTTGTTCAGGTCTTTCCCACCTGGTGACTGGTTTCCTGTAAAACACAACTCAAAGCACATGATTAGTCTTTCCCCAAGGTTAAATTTCCTTGAGGCACACAGTGGATCTCTCCATCCTTTCTCATTACCCACCAGGTATTTCCGGGCCCTTGAGCGAAAACAATCCCACGAATGGGTTTGTCTTCGCCCAAGGGAGGAGTAATCCAAACAGCCTTCCCTAACATACCTCTCAGATGGATCGCTGGAACTTTGTCTCCATCTACAGTGTGGAGGGATTCTGCTTGGGCAGGACCAGCTCGATTGACAGAGCCTCTAGTGTTAACTAGCCAGGTGGCCTTGGCTAAGTGCTTGTCCCAGTTCTTGAAAGTTCCCTCACCTAGTGCCTTCAGAGTTGTTTTTAACAGTCCATTACACCTTTCAATTTTCCCAGCGGCGGGTGCATGATATGGAATGTGATATACCCATTCAATACCATGCTCCCGTGCCCAAGTGGCCACCAGATTATTCTTAAAATGAGTCCCATTGTCTGACTCAATTCGTTCTGGAGTACCATGTCTCCACAGGACTTGCTTCTCGAGACCTAGAATGGTATTCCGGGCTGTTGCATGTGGTACCGAATATGTCTCTAACCATCCAGTAGTCGCTTCCACCATGGTAAGCACATAGTGTTTACCTTGGCGGGTTTGTGGCAATGTGATGTAGTCGACCTGCCATGCTTCTCCGTATCTATACTTGTCCCAGCGTCCACCATACCATAGGGGCTTCAACCTTTTGGCCTGTTTAATGGCAGCACAGGTTTCACAGTCATGGATAACCTGGGAAATAGAGTCCATGGTCAAATCCACCCCTCGGTCTCGTGCCCATCTATAGGTGGCATCTCGGCCCTGATGGCCTGAAGCATCATGGGCCCATCGAGCTAGGAACAACTCACCCTTTTGCTGCCAGTCTAGGTCTACTTGTGACACCTCGACTTGTGCAGCACGGTCTGCTTGTCTGTTATGAGTGTGTTCCTCATTAGCTCGATCCTTGGGCACATGGGCATCTACATGGCGGACTCTCACATTCAGTTTTTTCACTCTGGCAGCGATGTCTTGCCACAAGTCGGCAGCCCAGATGGGTTTTCCTCTACGTCTCCAATTCATTTTCTTCCACCTGTCTAGCCATCCCCATAGGGCATTGGCTATCATCCACGAATCAGTGTAGAGGTAGAGTCTTGGCCATCCTTCTCTTTCTGCAATGTCTAAGGCCAATTGGACAGCTTTGAGTTCCGCAAACTGACTCGATTCACCTTTACCTTCAGTGGCTTCTGCCACCCGTCGGGTGGGACTCCACACAGCTGCTTTCCACTTCCGGCTCCTTCCTACAATGCGGCAAGAACCGTCAGTGAAGAGGGCATAACGTGTCTCTTCATCTGGCAACTGATTATATGGCGGAGCTTCTTCAACTCGACTCACTGGCTCTTCTTCTTCTTCATCCGCCAGACTGAAGTTCCCACCTTCAGGCCAATTGGTTATAATTTCCAAAATTCCAGGGCGATTCGAGTTTCCCATTCGGACACGTTGCGTAATCAAAGCCATCCACTTGCTCCACGTGGCATCGGTGGCATGATGCGTAGAGGGCACCTTACCCTTGAACATCCAGCTCAGCACTGGTAATCGGGGTGCCAGGAAGAGTTGTGTTTCGGTACCAATCACTTCTGAGGCTGCTCGTATGCCTTCATATGCCGCTAAGATTTCTTTTTCCATAGGGGTGTAGTTGGCTTCAGAACCTCTGTAGCTTCGGCTCCAGAAACCAAGTGGTCGCCCTCGCGTCTCGCCAGGCACTTTTTGCCAGAGGCTCCAGGAGGGACCTTTATCTCCAGCTGTAGAGTAAAGTACATTCTTTACATCTGGTCCCGTCCTGACTGGACCAAGAGCCACGGCATGTGCAATCTCTTGCTTGATTTGCCTAAAAGCCTGTTGTTGTTCAGGACCCCACTGGAAGTTGTTCTTTTTACGGGTCACAAAGTAAAGAGGGCTTACAATTTGGCTGTACTCTGGGATGTGCATCCTCCAGAAGCCTATGGCTCCCAGAAAAGCTTGGGTTTCTTTTTTGTTTGTCGGTGGAGCCATTGCTACGATCTTATTGATGACGTCTGTTGGAATCTGACGACGTCCATCTTGCCATTTCACCCCTAGGAATTGGATTTCTCTGGCAGGTCCCTTGACTTTATTTCTCTTGATGGCGAAACCGGCCTCGAGGAGAATCTGGATGATCTTTTGCCCTTTTTCAAAAACTTCTTCTGCTGTGTCCCCCCATACAATGATGTCATCGATGTACTGCAGGTGCTCTGGGGCCTTACCCTTCTCTAGGGTGGCCTGAATCAGCCCATGACAAATGGTTGGACTGTGCTTCCACCCCTGGGGCAGTCGATTCCAGGTGTACTGCACACCCCTCCAGGTGAAAGCAAACTGTGGCCTGCACTCTGCTGCCAAGGGAATGGAGAAAAATGCATTAGCAATATCAATAGTGGCGTACCACTTCGCTGTCTTGGACTCCAGCTCATACTGGAGCTCCAACATGTCTGGTACAGCAGCACTCAATGGTGGCGTGACTTCATTCAAGCCACGATAGTCCACTGTCAGTCTCCATTCTCCATCGGATTTACGTACAGGCCAGATAGGGCTATTGAAGGGTGAGTGTGTTCTGCTGACCACCCCTTGACTCTCTAACTTCCTGATCATCTTGTGAATGGGGATCACAGCATCTCGATTTGTCCTGTACTGTCGCCTGTGTACAGTTGCAGTGGCTATAGGCACTTGCTGATCTTTAACTTGGAGTAGTCCCACAATGGAAGGATCTTCTGAGAGGCCAGATAGGGCAGACAATTGCTTGGACTTCTCTTCAATCACCGTGGCTACACCGAAAGCCCATCGGTACCCCTTCGGGTCTTTGAAGTATCCTCTTTTTAGGTAGTCCATACCAAGAATGCAAGGGGCTTCTGGCCCCGTCACAATGGAATGCTTTTGCCATTGGTCTCCTGTCAAGCTCATATCGGCCTCTACCACTGACAACTCTTGAGACCCTCCGGTCACTCCAGAAATAGAAACAGCCTCTATACTCTTATGCTCTGATGGCATTAAAGTACACTGGGCACCAGTATCCACTAAAGCCCGGTATCTCTGAGGATCCGATGTGCCAGGCCATCGAACCCACACAGCCTAGTAAACCCTGTTATCTTCCTGGTCTCTATCCTTCTCCTGGCAGAAGGCAGGGCCCCTCTATTGGTCTTGATCGGAGTATTCATCGTCCGACTTTGACTTTGCCTTCTTGGAAGCCTTCTTGTTATTGTCAAAGCGGATCTCCATCTTTTTGTGTTTCAGAGGTTGTAGAGCATCTGCATCAATCACGTAGACAACCTTTTTGTTGTTTTCCCTTTGTTGTAACTCTCTCACTCTGGCCTCAAGTTTGGAAGTGGGTTCACCATCCCACTTCTTCATGTTTTCTCCTTTGCTGCGCAGATAGGACCACAGTTGATTACGTGACCTCGGTCTGGGGTTTCCTCTCCTTCTGCGTACTAAGAAAGGAGACCGTGAACGAGGCCGGGACCAAGATCGAGGTCGAAATCGTGGTCGAGACCATTTTATTGGTCTGTCTCTAAAGTCTCTGTAGTCTATATAGACTCTATCATCTCTATCCCTATAGTCGTCTTCATATCTGAAATATTCATAGGGCCTCTCCATTGCTTCCCTAGCATGGATAGGTCGGTGTCGGGCATCGGAGGACCTTTCCAAATTTTCTGCTATGGTCCGTATCCATGAACACATGGTGTCCACAGTCGGTTCATCCGTTTTTGGATTATATACTGATATTAAGCAATTGAGGTATGATGCAGGGGCACCTCTAATCACTTGCTTCCACATTGGCTCTGTACATGAAATTTTCTCTGGTTCTAAACAGTCATAATAATCTGAATTGCAATAAATGAGTTCCAGCATAGCTAATTCTCGTAAGTATTGGACGCCTTCTTCTGCACTCGTCCACTTTTTCGGAGAACTCATTAAGTATTCTTTAAATGGATATTTTTCCCTCACAGCATGGAGGATTCGGAGCCAGAGACTGAGATTGTATGTCTCTCTTGCGATTTCTTGTTCTATTTCACGGTTTTGAGCGAGGGATCCTAGCTGCTGTGCTTCATGACCCTCTAACAAGTGGCTTCTGGCTCCATTATCCCAACATCGTACCAGCCAGGTGAGAATTTGTTCACCAGGCCGGCGGCTGTAATCCCGTCGTAGATCCCGGAGCTCTGCTGGGGTCATTGTTCGCAGTACCTCACTCGTTCGCACAACTGCTGCTCCAGAATAAGGGTCTCCCCTAGGTGGAACCATTTCCACTTCCCTTTTGACGCTTCTATGTGGAACTGCTCTCTCTCTCTCTCTACCTCTCTCACATGGAGGCAGAGACTGAGCATGTAGCGGGGATAGACTTCTACTCCGTTGTCTAAGCCCACGAGGTGGAGGTAGCGAGTAGTCCTTCAGACTTTGGGATGAAGGTCTCAACCGTTCTTCTGTATCTTCCGCTGGAAAGTCAGGAAGAGAATATTTGGGTGTCAGCCTTGTCTTTGGTGGTTTATTGGCTATTTGTGCTGTCGCCCCTTCTTCCTTTAGGTGCACTCCCTTTTCCTTTGGACGCGCTCCTAATTCTTTTGGGCGCGCTCCTTCTCTCGCTGTTACTTCTTCTTCTTTTGCAGCCGTCCATTCGTCCACTACTACATAACTGAATGGGATAGGTTCCATGGGGCTGGCAAGTTCCTTTGTTCCCTTTTCTTCTTCTTCTTCTTCTTCTTCTTCTTCTCCTTCCATACGCCTTAATCGTGGAACTAGGCCTGTAGCTTCTGCAGTATCCCTTATCCATATCTTCTTCTTAGTTAGGGGGGCAATAGTGATTCTCGGGTTTGTAGTTCGGGTCTTCATCTCTGTCATAGCCTTAACATTAGATGTCGTAGTTTGAGTTCCAGTGTCCATGAGATCTACGGTCTAGACTCCAGTTTCAACAGATTTAGTAGAAGCTATGGTGACTTCAAATTGAGTCTGAGTCCCACACTCAATTGACTTAATAGAGATGGCGCTAACTTCAGGTTGGGTCTGTGTTCCATGTTCAGTTGAAGTAACGGAGACGGCGCTGACTTCAGGTTGAGTTTGTGTTCCACACTCAGTCAGCTTAACAGAGACGGCACTGCCTTCGGTCTGAGTCTGTGTTCCACATTCAGTCAGTTTAACAGAGACGGCACTGTCTTCGGTCTGAGTCTGTGTTCCACATTCAGTCAGTTTAACAGAGACGGTGCTGATTTCGGGTTGAGTTTGTGTTCCACACTCAGTTGACTCAATAGAGATGGTGCTGACTTCAGGTTGAGTCTGGATCTCGACGTCTGTGGACTCAATAGGGGCATCATTTGTTTCAGGTGACATATTTTGACTTTCTGCCTCTGTCTTAGGCTTTTGATAGTGATCTAAGGCAGCTCCATAAGCTGTCACTAGACCCCAGCATAAAGCAAGGAGCTGCGTGTTTGGGTCATCATATGAAAGACATCCTTCAACTAAACAACGTGTCATCTCGTCAGGATTAGACACATGTTCTGGCGTGAAGTCCCAAACAATGGGAGGTGCCACACGCCCTACCAGTTTGCCAAAATTTACCCATGCTCCTTGCCATCCAGAAACTGGCCTTTCCAAGAGTCTTCCCAAAGTTCCAGCGAATCCTTTAGAGGTCTGACCTTTTCTACAAGATGAAAAGCAACACAACACCATTCTTCCAGTTTTAAATAACTCTTTCATTGCCTTCACGAGTACTAGGATTGTCACTAAACAATTTAAGTAAAAATTGGAGCCAATTGTAATGATAGGGATCTCCTTTAGCAGGCCTTTGATGTCAAAATTGAGGGAAGTGAAATACTCCTTCCATTCATCCCAATCAAGGAAAGTGAGATACTCTTTCCATTCATCCCAATCAAAGGAAGGGATATACTCCTCCCATTCATCTCCAGTTGGGCGTTTCCCTACAGGATAGTCCAAAACAGGCACAAATATAGCTAGTACAATGAAACAAGTAGTTAGAATAGCCATCGTTATATTATTCTTTCTCTCTGTTCTTAAACAATAGGTTTGTTTATATAAACAAGCCTCTCTTGGCAGTTTTCCCGGTAACTGTTCCAAAACAAACCAGGATAACCAAAACAATCTCCCCGTACCGGGCCACCAGAAAATCTGTGATGGTTTGGACTTGGCTCCCTGCCAAATGCCCGAAAGTCACGACAGCAGCCCCCTTCCTCCCTCCCTTCTCCTCTTAGAGCAAAGAAAAAAAACTATAAAAAATTAAAGAACCCAAAGTCAAGCTGTTTATATAAAATATATATATATATATATTTACGTAAATTAAAGTTATATACAGTTAAGATGCTATATACACAGTAAAAGGGGATCCACTCCCCGAAGGGATAGGGAAAGGGGAAAAAAAAAGGAACACCGAACAGGTATACTTGATCAAATTCAAGAACTATACCAGTAATTAACAAAACAGATCTCACCACTTCCCTTAGAAAAAGCAGGATTGGCAGACACAGCCAGCACTCTCCAAACCCCCCACGTGGCAGGCCAGCGGTCGCTGCAGGCCTCAGCTTTAGATAAGCGAGACCAACGCAAGGACCTACAGTTCCCGACCCTCGTTGGAAGAGAAGAGAGAGAGGTCTCTAATCTCCAACTTATTTATACTCTGGTTTACGTAAAAATCGTATGGAATACTGGGTACTTGGCCACTTCCTTGGTTACAAACTGGTTACCAGGAAGGCCTAGATCAAAACCATCACAAATACAAAATTAAAATTATGTACCTTTCTGCATCATCAGTCCTGTATAATACAGTTGGTGTTGCTCTGACTTGTGATTTTGCCTAGATGCCATGATATGTTAGAGATCCCCTGAGCACAGTTCCCATTACACTCTGCTTTATTTCCAATACACAGAATAAGCTGCAGGTATCAGCAAGTCCACACTAATTAGCAAACCCTTCCAGTGACCAGGAAAAGGATGTGGGGTGCACTATCATGGTAATCAGAGAGCTGGAACTGCACTCCTATAAAGGCAGGCTAAGAGAATTGGGGTAGTTTTGCCTGGAGAAGAGAAGGCTCCAGGGAGACCTTAGTCCAGAATTCTAGGGCCAACAAGAGAGCGGGAGATAGACTTTTTGAAGGGCATGTAGTGATAGGACAAGTGGGAATGACCTTAAAGATCTGAAAGATGATATGTTTAGATAAGATATGAAGAAGAAATTCTTCACTGTGTGGGTGGTGAGGCACTGGACCAGGTTACCCAGAGAAGCTGTGGATGCCTCATCTCTTGAAGTGTTCAAGGCCAGGCTGGATGGACCTCTGAGCAACCTGGTCTAGTGGAAGGTGGGCCTGCCCATGGTAGAGTGGTTAGAAATAGATGATCTTTAAGGTCCCTTTGAACCCAAGCAGTTCTGTGAACTACAATTATGAAAGGTGGTTCTGGATGTGAGTTTGAAAGTATCATCTGACCTTTGCTGCTAGGATCAACTCAGATATCCTTGCCTGCTGTTTGAAGTCCTTGCTGTATATATAGTGAGCATGAATAGTAATTTTCTCCTTGCCCATTTGTATACAATGCATGCTACCTGATAATGCATTTTGCATAAGTGGTGCAAAAACACAAAAATCATTAATTCCACATATGCTTTTTCACAGTAGTTTATTTCCACAAAAATTTCAAAGACTCTAAGGGAAAAGCAGTATTTCTTTCAAGCCTTTTAATGCTTACTCAGTCCTACATTTTGATGGTCCCTTCTGTGCAAAAACATTATTCCTGTGGGGTCTGGTTACACCAGGTGCTGCAAAGCATCCTGGGAGTTGTAGTTCTAAGTACTCTGTCACACATGCTCTGTTAAATGCTTGTATGGGATTGGCTTAAGAAGTTACCTGTGTGACGTGGCAGCATTTGAAACTGCTATATAAGCCGGGACTCCTTGAATAAAGCGCTCTCTCTCTTGTTACACACCACGTTGGTGTCGCTATGGTCCCCATGGGACATATTATTTATTATATTAATAACTGCTACATATGGCGCCCGGAACAGGGACCTAAGCCTTATCCTGAATCAGGAAGAAATACGGACCAGACGTCAGGTACCAGCCTATATTTAACG